TTATGAAGAGTGGGTATAATTTTGCATCTGAACAATTAACTTCAAATGCAGAACACGATATCGTACTTCCTGGAATAATGTGTATATTGCGAGGATGTAATCGCTCTGACAATGGATGAATTCGTTAAAACTTTATTCCACACACCCCGAGATAAATTACACAAGACTATATAGCCACAAATCGTACATTCGCGGACATTTTGCGAAGGTGCGAAATACGTTTCCAGGTTAACTGTCTATCTAAATACTTTTGAAGTAAAAATTCAAACAAATAAATTATATTCATTTCATGTCAATTTTATTTGAGATTATCGCTTTTATACGTTCACTTATTAGTTATTCTGAGTTGTGCGCGACGACATGACATACAAATATGTAACGCGTCCGCAGTCGTTCTGTCTATTATACATATTATATTATGTTGTTTGGGTCCGTTTATTTGCGGCTTTTGACGTCATAACATATAAATATCAATTTTTCTAATGAATTCGCATTCATGCGTAAGAGCTCAAGGAATATATTATACACGTAATGATAAATTATTGAAAAATGATGATTATGTTGTTTACATTAAAAAAAAAAAAACAAAACTAATTCAATGTTAACGCATAAATATTATTATACTGTTCCTATTATACAAATTAATCTATCGTGTAAACACGAATAAAATACAATATTATTATTGTTTTAGTGTATCATTATTATTTATGATTGAATAATTTTTTTAAAGATTTTTTAAATAACATATTACAGAAAATACTATGTTCTATGACACGCTCGTATTTACTCGTATTTATATAATAATATAATTATATATTCTATTATGCTGTGTTTTAAAATCTTACGTATTGCCTTGTAACTTGTTGGCAACTTTTGAATTGGCATAGTTTAACAAACGCGTATTACAATTATATTTTAAGCCTTATAGTTATACGATCGTTTTTCACAGCACTAATACTGTGTACATATATGTACTACAACTATAGGCTCTACAACTAGATACTTACTATACAACCCCTACTATGGGTCTATGTTTGCGGTAATAATATTGCGATTTATTGGTTAGTCGTCACGGTTAAATTAACATTATCGTGTAAAAATATATGCACAAAAATATTTGTAATCTTGCTATTTATAGAATTAGCAGTTGACGTGTGCGGTACACCATTATAATATAATATCTGTATGTTAATAATTGAATAAAAAACAAATTTAAAAACTTTATGAATAGGTACCAAGACGTTGTTTTTTTCTGAGCTGTTGCAATGGAGCCAGCTGTAACCAATTAATTTTCCAAAAAGTTATAACTACGTAAACTATCATATTATAACTTCAATGGTGATTCTATATAGAATCAATTGTAATTCGTAGTAGCAAGTACTGTGTACCTACTCATTATGTATAATAATTAAAAATGTATGTATTACTATTAAGTTAATGCAAACATCACACGTTAACACACATAATACACACTGTAATTAAGTACCTCTACTAAAGTGGTTCGATATAGATAAATTTTGGAAACATGTCAATTAAAAAATGTGAACATTAATTCAACGTAATTTCAGTGATTGGAACTTCGTCAAAAATGTAATACTAGGTTTCTCTAAAGTTATCTATAATAAATATTTGCTTAAAAAATTGCTCTTTTTTTGTAAGAAGATTTGTGAAACGTTTCTATAGTACCTATAACCTTATGCTAAGCATACTATTTCTCGAATTTTTATGAAAATAAATTCGTACAAATTTTAGTTTTCATCATAAAAATATTCGTATAAGTTCCATGTACTAAATATTTATAAAAATAATTTTAAAAATCACTGCAGAGATGAGAAGGAGCTGGGGAAACGTTTGTATAATTGTATATTAAATTCGATTTTAATTTATTATGCACACATAATGTTGGTAGACGGTTTTAAATGTATGTATTGCGATTGAAATATTTTTATTACAGAAACAGTACAAGGTTTGCAATTAGTTTTGATATCAATTATAAATATTTAATATTAACTAATTTATTAAAAATGAGACAACCAAATCAAATTTTAAATGCATTTTGAATTCTACACAATAAACCAACAATATCATATACTAAATAAATAATATTATAAAATGAATGGTATTTCATTAATATATAAATGACTAATACCATTATGCTAATTTTTTTTTATACATAATTATCAATGGAATGAGTAGGTATAGCTACAGATATGGCATGACTAATACGCCACTATAAAAATTACATAATTTAAGATCATTCAGCTAATACTAATAGAATTCGAGAAGATATTTTTTTATAAATATTTTATGCTGTACTTACTAGTCATAAAACTACTTCAACGCATTAAATATTATACAATAAAATAAAATATTTTTATTTAATACTCAAATATTACTTAACTAAGTTATTATTATTCTTGATATATAAAATAATTTTTACTAGGTATGTATATTTATTTAACTTTATCAGACTCTAAAGTTAAAAGAGATTCGTCAAAATATTTCGAAGATTGTAAAATAAAATGTTGTGGTACCAGAACTATTTTAACTTAAGTGGGCCGACCTGTGGCCAATCGTTTTTAAGGGAGGCAGGGACTAGGGAGGTTATTATTCTGCGTTGAAAATATACGCCCCCGAGCCTCTCTTCCACGTATATAAATGTATACTCCACCTGCCTACTGTACACATTTACGAAATGTGTAATGGACTTAAGAGCATTGAATCATTTTAACCACACAAGAGATATTTATGACACATAACTATTTATTAGAGTTAACACGTATTTTTTAAAATAGTTATTTATGTAGTTATTCTGATTATTATTTATTTTGTATTAAATTGAAATACGTTTTTTATAACTACTAACTAGACGCAAATATTAGGGTATAAGTCAACTGTTTAAACACTTACCGAGATATGTTTCATAGTACCTATCTATAGCCTATGCAGTTATTTAACTATTTCAGTTCGATTTTGATATTTGACATATAAATACTAGGTAAGTGACATGTTACAACGCTTTATTTAGTTTAAGTGTAAGTCTTCTATAAAACCATGACTAGTTAAATGTACCAGTAAATACCACACATAGTTACGTATAAATGTGTAATAATAATGTTAGTTATCAATATATTAATTTTTTCGATACTATATAGTAGAAATATAAATGCGTTGTACCGATCAAGGCCAGAGATATAATAGCGGCTGCAGAAGGGTTAAGACAAGTACTTTATTATCGTTATAATATATTTTATATATACTCGTATGTATATAACGTAGTGTAATAAAAAATTGACGATAGAAATACGCTTATAAATATTAAACAAAAACAATGAAAGTAAAAATAAGCGTCTACATAACTTTTTTTTTTAAAGTGTGAATACTATTAATGTGATACAAATGATACCTATACGTAAAAAGAAATGTTTCACCTTAACGATGACGTCTACCGGTGTGATTGCTGACACGCGGTTGCATATCATAGTATTATAAGATAACATATAGGTATGGAAATTTCCGAGTGATACATTAACGATTATGCATCATACTATAAGTATAAAGTGCTTCTGCTGCAATTTAAAGAAAAACAGGAGATCAGTGTAATTTGCCGCAGTCTTCTAATTGCAATACATCGTTTTCATACGACACCAGCTTATGTCATCGAATAGTTTTTGTCGATAATAAAATAACATATTATTTAAGGTTTCAGTTCCGGAAAACACCAGCATTTATAGCTGTATATTATATACATTTAAAAAGGTGAAAAAAATTCAAGTAAGTACAAATTTAATACTATCTTTAACGAAGGTCAAATGATAGTTGTCTTAAAATGGGTTAATAGAACTTGAGTAAGTTTACTATTTTGATTTTAATAACATATATTAGCCAATGACCAACGGCGATGATTAAATAACAATATACCCATTAAAAATCATGTTTATATTTTAACGGTTTCTGGAATTTTGTAAATTATAGAAATGGAAAATTATAAATCCGTGTGTTTACATTTAATTAAACCAAACAGTTATTATTAATTGGTTACTTAAATAAATAGAATAGACTAATAATATTAGAACCTAAAAATTCTCTGTCGACGAATTCCGATAACTGCATAAGTACCGGTATTCCGGTTTATGGGTTCCTAAGAAAACCAAAAAAGGGTTCCGGTTTAGAAACTGGTATTTTTAATTTCGCTGTTCCGAGCCCTGTAATATCATTTGACGTTTCAGGTAAATTTTATAGTATTAATGTAACGATGTAACGTTGCTCCAAATACGTAGCTATTAACTTTGAAATTTTGCCCGGCGTCATCGTCACTTATGTCGTTAGCCTAACTCTAGCAGGAGGGAGGGAGGTGGGTCTGTGCGGGTGTGTATTCGAGTATTTATACAATATCTAATAACAACAATTCACACACACACACACACACACACGAATATTGAAAAATAATCGTAAACCACCCACCCCCGCCGAGTGGTTGTTGCCCAAGTCCGGATTAAGATAATTTTGGGTTCACGACTATATAATCAAAATTTAAAAAAAAAAAAAAAAACGTACCTACTATAGTATAACGTGCCCATTATCGTTCGATGTCCGTTGCGGTCCCGAGACCATACCCCCGCCACCCTTATTCCGGACTTGTTGTCGTTCTGCCGACCGCCGGTGCACTCGGTTTTGTGCCACTGCAGGACATACGCATCGCGGACCGCGGTCACCGGTGCAGGCGAACCGCTGCAGTCGCTCAAACAGTCGGAACTGCAGTCGACGGTTTCGCGCGTACGACAAAATACAATATTATTAATACAATATCAATATAACACAATAAATGACACTGCGAAGTGATAAACCTACGCACATAATAATAATATTGTTATTATTCACGCACATTTTACGTACCTACCTATACAGAAACGGCGCGTGGTGGTAGGCGTGTCTGCCGGGACGTCTTGCGTGTGCCGCCGCCGCCGACTAGAAGAGTGACATCAGGAGTGGCGGTTTCGGTTCGCGCGGCACCGCGCCGGTTAGTTGGCCGGTCGACGCACGAACCATTCGCCATACGCACGTGTGTCCGAGCGCACAATCGCCGCGCGCGCGTTTTACCGCAGCAGTCGTCGAGACCGTCGTCGCGATATTTGTAATCGTATTATTTTTCTCTCCGCAGCCGTTCGATCGGTGGCGGCGATACGTCGTAATAATAATAATAATAATAATAATAATAAAAAATAAATCCGTCGTCGTCGTCGTCGTCGTCGCGAGACGCTTCCGGTCTTCGTCGTCGCGGTGGCCCGTTTTCCGCCGCTGCCCGGAAACGATCAGCTCGCGCGTCACCGCCATCGCGTCCGTCGGCCGGCCGGCCGTCCCGGAGTCGAAGTGTCCGCGTCCGCCGCCCAACCGGATGGCATGAGCCGCAGACCCGTCGCAGTCGCAGTCGCCGCCGTGGTCGCCGTCGTGGCGGCCGTGTCGTCGATGTCGGCCGTCTCGGCGGACACCGTGTCCGCCGACGTGCTGCCGGACGGCGAGGTCGAGATCCGCGTGAGCAAGGGCAACGTGACAGCTAAACGGACGTCGTTCACGTCACCAGAAACCGGGTAAGCGATACGCTGCAATAATACCTAATAACAATGTGTTGTGCTCTAGAAATAGGCAAGCGCGCGTTGTGTGGTAACAACCTAGACCAGTATACGATTGACGACCTGTATGCGGAGCACTCGCCCGCAATTCATAGGTATGCGAGGCGATTTTTCGAGCCACCCCTCCCCGGTACGATTAAAATTATGATTTTTAAGCGAATTCCGATAGAACTTCAGATTGCAAAACACTGATTTCAAAAATAAAAAAATTTCTACGAGATGACGACGGACATAATGTTCAAGACGTTTTCATTATTAGGTATATTATAATGAGTGCTGTTATATTAATTGATCTTTTTTTTCGAAATTAGACAAGTACGTGTACGATCTATATAAGCTTTAATAATATTACACAAGGTGATTATTTTGTTCGACATTCGTTATTTCAAAATTTATGAACATTTTTGGTGATATTTTTTTTCACATAATCTACAGAAGAAATAAAAAACATTTTTAAATCAATTTTTATTGTTATAGCACTCGTTATTACGATTAGTTTATGAGTATAATAAATATTTAAAGTATAGATGAGTGGAATGAAGTGGTACGGAGATATTGTGCAAAATGTAGGTCTATTACTCTATACTTACATAAACTTTAAATATTTATAATTCATTGACTGCTAATTATTCAAATTTCAATTTTTTACGTATCAAAATACTTAAAAAATATTCTGCACCAGAATATAAAATTAAAAATGTATGTTGTCTTTCAAAAAATTAAAAATCTTAAAAATGAATAACGACAAAAAATATTTTTTAAATGTTGTTTTATTACAACAAGAAATAATGTAAAATTAATAGTTTCAAAAATATTTATAAATTTTAAAATAATGAGTGTTGTTCAATTAAAGAATCACACAATATTGGTACACTGCTATATGACTATAAATTATAATAGTAAAGGTATGTGTTGTAAATTATGGTTAGAAATTTAGAATATAAGATATATTGTAGGTATCTATATACTTTTGTTTGAAATCATATTGTGTTTCTCTTACCAAACATCTTGTCCGATAAAAAACCGTTTGTTTCGCTACCGCCTCAATGCCTTAAAAGTAAAAAAGTATATAGACGGTGAAAAAAATATCGGTCATATAAATGAGAAACATAGCTATCATCATTGCATTTTTAAGCTCTATGTAGTCTGCATGACGGTCGGCATGACTAACAAGTAACTGAACTAACCGCTAAAATGGCATTGTGATGAAAAAAAATTTCCTAGTAAATTGTAAAACCAGTTTTATAAAATACATACATATTATCAAAGTCAATGTTACATATAATAAATTTTTGTATAAATTTATTTTAAAATAAATACTTAATCAGTCTGTTGTATAATATTAAAGACACTACCTACAATAATTTATAAAATAGATTTTCGGCGTGCACTATTTATTTTTGGTATCAAAACTTATGTATGATTTCTTATTATAACACCACGAAATAAATATTTCTGTTTAAACATAATGCATTTATTCATACTTTTTTCAATAATTATTTTCTTAATTTTGTAAAACATTTTTACGTTTTTAATGTATAATATGAATTATTTGTTTCATTCATAAATGGATCAAAAAATTATTAAACTTTTTTTTTTTCAGTTTAAATAATGTTATTTTAGAAAAAAAAGCTGATAAAACGGGAATATAATTTTATAAATTTAAAAAGTTTTTTTCTTTTTTTAATGTGATTTTTAAATACTATATAAGTACCCCATCGACATACCAATCACGAAAAGTGAAATTATGTCTATTATAAAGCTAAATATAGAGTACACGTTCTAAATAGTATGCGTGAAATTAAATAATGAGTAGTTTGCATTTCGATATAATTAAACCGAAATTATTAATGAATATATTATAATTTGGATAAATTATCGTTCATCTAAGTAAATAGTGTTCTACTTTTAAAATATAATAAACATATTTCTTTAAAACTATATTTATTATATTTTTTTATACATAATAGAACTTTTAAAATCGATTTAAAATAAATCACTATTGTTTTTTCGATTATCTCATATCATTCTTAACATGACTAAATATACATATGTATAAATATATTGGTATAAATTACATAACATACATTGAGTTTTATTTTCATTTTATTATTTGTTTTCTGAATTTGATACAGTCAATAGAATTAATTTTAAAAAAAAATGCGAACATGTATAATTATATAATTCGGAGTATTTGTAAAAGGCACTATTTCTATAGTTACGGACGAAAACCGTATATAAGCAAATACTATGGCGCGGCGTATCGTACGCAAACACACATGAAGTATATTTTGTACAATTATTTGTGAAAGAATCGAAAACTCTCGCTCATTCATCAATGACAGTGTGTGAACGTTGTGGTTTTTTAACATCTAATATATTGTTATGTACTGTTTTATTTCGATCTTCCAACTGGTTAGTACATTCGGAGTGCACGTGAACCGGTTTTGATTGCATTTCAATTCATTTTCATTTTCAAAGTTTAAAACGAGTAAGCGATCATGTGCTTAACGTGCGTGTATACAATGTCCGCACCATAGATATAGGTACGTGTTTTTTGCCGTTCGCGGTGTGGATTTTGTAGAAAAATCAAACCCTGAAATCAGGTGCCAGCGTAGATTCGAGTTTCGAGATAAAAATATAGACGAAAGCCGACGGAAAAACTACTACTTGCGCTAAAAAGATCGCAGCCGATTTATCGCGCGTGTGGTGGGTATCTTTATATGGTACCTTATACGTCTACTATACTGCGCTCCCGATTTATCTTGAACGTGAAATTCTCTTCGTCTCGATTTAAAAATACGCTTAACAATATATACATATTGATTCCACACAACGGCCGTATGTCATGTACGTGTACACATAACATATTATATATAACAGATGTAGGTGCCACGGGTTGGGGGAGAGGGCTACGCGTTTAGCGCCGGTCAGTCTGTTGTTCGACATGGCACACATATCACAAGTATATATATATATGTATTATATTATATTTATATCGTAAATAGCGTTTGGATCGGCGTGGGCGTGTGTGTGTATTATACATTATGGGCATTTAAAGTCATACAATACACGGATGCAGTATGTATAGGCGAGTCGAGGTGTTTAACCGCGTGAAGTCATCGACTATGCAGACGGTTGAAAATCCTGTGTTATACCTACCTAAGCACATCGCATTCCCCGTGTACGCCACGTACCTGCCGCAGGTGCGAAGAGACTATAGTCAACGACAATATAATGTGGGTACGCGCGGCGCTGCGAAATGTCAAACAGAAATATAGGCTGTACCCATCACAACAACGGGAGAAGTACATATATTTAGGAGTCTTCTCCGCGTGTGGGCGCTCCGACGAGGTGGACTGTCTTTCCGTTACGTTTGTAGGGGTGTAGGTATTATACTTACACTCATATCTGTTTGTCGAGAACATGTTAGATATTATGTAGTGTTATGTATACGCGACAAGGCGACAGCGGCTATAATGTCTTACGCGCGATAAACATCTCTGCTCGCGACGGCGGTCGGATGACGAGGCGCAAAACGCGCAGACAATATCGTGTAGACAATGAAATCAAACCACAATAAAGAATCGATTTTGAAAAAAAAAAACCATACATATAGGACGTGCGCATAATATTACGCAGGTACCGCGACCTAGCTGTACCTACATATATTCTCTTGCGGCGGCGGCGTATGAGTACTTGTATACCGTCGTACGAACGACTCGCTTACGGTCCCTTTTGAAGACGAAACCATAAAAAAAAAACAAAAAACCCGAAACACGGATTTCTTCCCTTGTTTATTCGAATGTTTACCTTGACGTTTTCGGTCTACATTGACGTGAAAAGGGGGATGCCGGCACCGACGACGACGCCACCGCTGCACAGGGCCCGTACGACGACCGAGTGATTTATACTGCAGCGGTGTTGTGCGCACTATACATCGCGGGGCTGGGAAATTCTTTGTCGATGATACGCGTTCATTATGTTAGGTACACACTATCATTATATTAACGTTATTATATTGTATTTTTTTTACTTCGACCCTATATAAGTATATATTACGCGTGAGTATTGCTGTACGTTATAATATGCACGCGGATCCGAACAAGGTCCGCCGCGACTGTGTACACGCATAATAGCATATAATATACGCGTAGCGCGTGTTAATTTAAATTGTTTTTTTATTATTATTATTTGAAACAACTACGCGACTGTACCTACGTCATATAAAATTGTATAATTGTATAACAAACGGGCGGGCGGCACTGGTGTCGCTGCTATATACACTCGCCAACGGTGCTGGGGAAACAATAGCCGGACACGATCGGACTTACCCCGGGTGGTCATTATAGACCCGTAACTGTTTACATCATTAACTATATTATATATCTAAAGGTGTGAAGTGCTGTCATCGGGAGATACACATCTTCTGTGTAGACAAACGACATCAAAGACTAATTATTCGGCCTATAGGTCGAATATTTATAAGTATAAATAGAGATCGGGTTCTCCTGGACCTATATAATAGGAGCGAGGTGAGGGCGGGCCGATAAAAGTGTTATATTTTATGTGTCTTGTATACGTATGCATATATATATATATATTATAAATAGTTACGTACATACACGATACACACGCATTGAACGTGAATTAAAAATCAAAATGCTTTTCGGTTTATAGGTATTAAATAGCGTAGGTTAGGTATTATCTGAAATAGTAGGAAGCGTGCCAGTAGTGGATCTTGAGATCAAAATGACTTCAAAATCAAACCTGTAATATGCTAAAGCGTAAGGATGATATCGATGTAACTTTTATGATATGATTTATTTCGTTTTTATAGTTATAGTTAGCTTTTTTTATCCGAACACGGTCAACATAATATTTTAATTATTCAGTTATTATTGTTGTTATTTCATTGAAAATTCTTAAAACTATCGATTTATTGTATTTGTACTAAT